TTGTTGAGGAGGGGGACTAGGGAACCTCAGGGAGTGGATGCTTACCAATGGTAGTGAGTGGAGGGTTTCAGTGTCACAATAGTTGCTCACATTGTACCTGATGCTTCCTCTCATTTCTCTCAGCCCTAAGTGGGGGGTCCATCCTCCCCTGTGGCTGCTGGGGGGTCCCTCCTCTCCACCCAGTGGCCCCTGACCCTCTCCCCTTGGAGGGCAGAAGATTAAAATGGAAAGGACCTCAGAGGGATCATCTAGTTCAACTCCCTCCTCATGCAGACTGAGGCATGGAGAGGGCATGGGAGCTTCTGGAGTCACATGCTGAGTCCACCTTGTGGCCTTGGAGGTGGAGGGGAAGAGACAGGAAGGAAAAGGTCTGTAGCTGTTAATCAAAACTTTTCTCTCCCTTCAGCTGATCCACAATTTTAGCCCAAAATATGTGCAACCCTTTTCCCACAGTATCAGACATACATTTTTTTTGTTTGTTTTTTGGTTTGTCTGCAAGCTTTATATTTTTGTTAGCTCCCCTTTTTCCTTTCTTCTTCCTCTGTGTTTCCAGGCAAAATCACTCACAGAAGAAGTCAAGTATCTTAAATAGAGGGAGCTTGGGAGGGCGTACCCCTGGGGAGGAGGTGGGACCTGCTCTTGCTCTCCTCCTTGGAGCTCCAGTGAGTCACCCTGACAAGTGGCCGCAAAGGTCATGCTGTGTGGTGATTGGTAGCATGGACTGGGCCTGGGTTTGACACCCAGTCAGGCAAGTTTTTACCAAAGGATTTTGTTTTTCTTCACCCCAGCTCCCCACCTGCTGCTTTCTAAAAGCACAGGGCCCATCCCTGAAATTTCATGGGTGTGGGGACTCTCTTTCCTCACCCTGTGTATTAGGGGATGACAGTCAGGCTGAGGTGGCCCCAACCTGCAATACCTTCCTGTCACTCATGGAAGGTTAGCCTCTTAGGTGAGGCTCCACTCCTCTTGAGAATGTCACCCCACAGCTCCTGCTGCCAGCCATGAGTCCTCATGCTGAGGGAGAGCAGTGGACGCGTTTGGAGGTGTTTGTGGGTGAAGACAGATGCCCCTACCCCCTCCCTCCTTCCACAGATGGCTGATGCTCCCCATTACCAAGGGCCTTCCCCTCCTCTGATCAACAGCATGAATGGGGTTTCTAGGGAAAACGATGCTTTGTGACCTCCCCGTTCATTAGACTCTGGATGAAACAAAATGGAATGGGAGGAGACTATGACTTTTAAGTCAAAGAGCAAAGGCGACATGGACCACACCAGTCAGAACAGCCCTTCCCCAGGCACCTTCCACAGTGGGCGCTGGGCATGGGCCACAGCATCCTAACTCCTAGTCATCCACTGACTCAGGAATCCACTAGGACAGCGGATGGATTAGGTAAGATGATGGAATCCACACTTGGAAATAAATACCTGCAGTTCACAGAAAGAATGACCTAATCACTGCCAGTTCACAACAAGCTAGAGTGTGGTTCTGTTATAACTCTCAGTCCCTCCTCCCCAGGGAGCGTGTGAAACCCTCTGCCAGGAGCAGCCAAGGGAAACATCTCCAACCCAGGTTAGCTGACATCCTTTTCTGCATCCAGGTTCTCTGTCATTGCTGATCCTCTGCTACTGGCCACGCTGGTTTGCCTCCCAGCCAGGCTGGGCCCAGGAAGGGCCCGCTGGGAGTCAGCACTTCCACAATATCTCTGCAAGTTCACACCTTGGGGGGTAGAACTTTCAGCTGGTATATGCTTCTATACTCTGGTCACCCTTCTTCCTAATTTGCTTCTGTCCAAGTCAGAGTTTGGCCCTGGGGAGGTTTATATCCCTCATGAGAACTTTTCTTAAACGTCTTTGGCAGTTTTCTGTTCCCCAGGGAATGGCTTTTCTCCCCCTTCACCATTGCATGCTCCTCATACATAAAGTGGCCTCCTGCACTTCAGTGATCTCTGGCTTAGAGCAGGAAAGAAACTGCTGCCCACGGTCCAGATATCACCGCCTTCTATGTAGCTCTTCCAAACAGTCCCATTTGCTGTAGCACCCTGGGCTTTAGGTTCACTATTTTGTGCCCACCATGTGTGGGCTCTACAAAGATGACTAAGGAAAATTGGGCTTATTGTTGTAACTATTAGCAGCAACTACCATTTATTGAGCATATACTATGTTCTAGGCATTATGCTAAGTGCTTTACATATATTATCTCTAGTCCTTTTGGCAAACCTATTTTATAGATGAGGAAACTGAATCTGAGAGAAGTTGTGTAACTTGCCTTGGCTCACATTGAAGGGAAGTGGCAGAGGTGGGACATGAATGCAAGCCTGCATGATTCAGAAGTCCATACTCTTTCCTTTCCACCATTCTTCCAGGCACTCAACACACACTTATTGAGCACCCAGATACTGCTCTCTCTCTCTTTTTTTTTTCCTTAGAGAGGGAGAGAAAGCATGAGCAGGGGGAGAGGTGGATGGAGAGGGAGAACCTGACTCCCCGCTGAGCAGGGAGCCGGATGTGGGACTCAATTCCAGGACCCCGGGATCACAACCCGAGCCGAAGGCAGATGCCTAACTGAACCACCCAGGTGTCCCCCAGATACTGTTCTTTCCACCACATCTTTCATCCTAATTCTCTTGATCTGTGACAATGGAGAGGAGAGTTCCTGAAGCCCACCACAAGGAAAAGGTCTAGAACAGTGAGGAGAAGGAAAACAAAATTGCCTATCTGCGTGTTAATTTGAAGTTTGCTCATCACCAGGAGAAAATACAAACTAGGTGAGGATTACTGTATCAGCCATCTGTTTCCAGTTTACAAATCCGAAGCAGTAGCTGGAGCTCCCAGATGCAAACATGGGAATACGGGATTCCACTGAAATATGAGAGACAAGAAGAGGAGCAGGAAAATGAGTCTTAAACCCTTAGAGACTGTTTGGCAACCTTTTTATGCTTAGTTGCAGTATTAGGCTTGATGTTTCTGAGAACTAACAGCATCATCAATCCCATCAGACATAGGAGAAGATAAGAGGCTGCTAGATTATATGCTATTCCTTGGATATGCAGAAAATCAGTGGTGATACAGACTTATAATCTAAGCCCATAGACAAAAAAATCATTGTAGCCAGCTACTTCCCTTATTTGTGGGTTGTTGAAATAGTTTTAATTTTGCTGAGAGTTGAAGTAAGCTTTTTTCATTTAAAAACAAAAAAACAAAAAACATGTGCCACAGCCAAAGAGAGCTGCTAGAGTGAAGCAAAATTCTCATGGCCTGGAGTGGCCATGATGGATTTAGCCAGTGTGGTGGCCATTTGACCCCGTTCTCTGCAAGGAGACATAACTGGAAGTCTGCTGATGGCTTCTGGAAAGACTTTTCTAACATAGAGGGATACTAAGGAGAAAGCCCATCTCCCCTCCTACTTGTCTTTGATTTTTTTCATTTAAGGATGGGATATACCAAGCTACCGCATCAACCTTGCTGCCGTGACAGGAGGCAATGCTATCACACCGAAGACTTCAAAATGGAACACAGAAAATACCTGCGTTCTTGGTAACCTCATTGCACCACTGAGCAACCTGAAACCACATACCTGCAGAGTTTTTAAGTGATGTCAAGTTGCCCTGTGATTTCTGCAACTTTCAGTTTCATCTCCATGACACACTGGATAAAGAGGAATCGCTTGAAGCCAACGCATTATGCAAGAGTGAAAGAAACATGTGTGAACCAAGATGGGACTACTGATTCCAGAACTTCGGTCTGTTGGGTTGCACATGCTTCAAATGAATTTAGAAACTAAGCAAACAGCACATATCTGTTAAACACCTACTATGGGCCAGACACTGTGCTGGGTGTTGGGGTTACAAGAGTGGGCAAGGTGGGCAAGGTCACTGAGGTCGTGGAAGTCACATTCCAGAAGACAGATGATAAACAAACAAATAAGAATAGTTGAAAACATTCTGAAGCAACTTTCTAAATATTGATTCCAATCAGTCCTGAGTGTAAACCCAGACATCATCATCACCATCGTCATTGTCATTGTCCTCATCATTTGTGCCAGGCTCTGTAGGTGTCAAATGATAAACAAGACATAGACCCTGCATTCAAGAAATCTGAGAGGCAAGAATCCAGATTTGGCCATAGAACAGTCAAAAGTTAGGCAATGAATTAGGCAACAAAAGAATTCTTCTGGTAACCAGGGTTGGGATAGGCCAGCCCCCTGTCTCTACAATTCTCCCACACATGTTTTATAACCATTCCCCCCCTTTCTCAAGAGAGAAAGAAATATTCTTAATGATTGCTCTTCTTTCATATATAGCCACTGTTCCCGAGAGAATCAAGTGGGCTTTTTCTTTGTCCAGTGAAGTGAAGAATATAGGCTGTGTAATCTGGGTGGAACTTACCAGTCTGCACTACGTACCAGCAAATACACACAGATACTCCCATAAATGATCTCACCAAACCCTGTCTCTCTTCCTTCAGCCTCTCAAAATCATACCCAGCTAATGTGTTTAGCAATGCTGCAATTGACTATTAACTGCCATATCTAGCTATAAAAAACAGATAAACATCGGCTAACTGGGTCCCCACCCCCACACACATACCCTCACCCTCAGAAACGTTTCCACTGACGATCACATGAACCACGGAACACTTCTCACGTTTGGAGTGCATCTTCCCACAGGCTGGCTCACACACTGGCTTTTTATTTGAGCTTTCATGGGGAATCTTTCAACTCTTAGATAGGAATTTCATTAACAAAGGAAGGGGAGGGGAAGTCAGGAGGAAAGTACAGACACAGAAGAAAGAAACTAAAATCATTTTTGAAGGGGACCTAAAATTGTATCATCCTAGCCTGGACCTCCCCTATAACTGTTCTTTATTTGTACGTTCTGTGCCTGGAAAAAAAAAAAAAACCCACACACACATACACCACAACTTTTCATTGATTGGGCAACTCTCCAGGCGCTTAACTTGGCATCCAGCCCACAGAGCAGTGAAATCAACCTCACCAAGCCTAGGGTTTAAAATACGGCAACATCTAGCTGGAAGCCCATTCAAAATAAGGAACTTGGTGCAACGGTCAGGGTCCTTTGTTCCTTCCTCTCCCAGCTGCATCTCTCATGTTATCTTGGTGAAGAGTCTTGGCCTGGCAAAGAAAGAGATCAGGGACAAGAAGGTGGTGCCGAGAAACTTCCATGAAACTCAGAAGTCACCGCCTGCCTATCAGACTCGAAGAACCGGGAGAGATGTAACCTGGGCATACTTTCAGCTGTTCCCCTGCTGCCCACACTGCAGGTTTTTCAGGTCCTTGCTTGAGCGTGCACTCATAGGCGTAAATAAACGTGCTATCAACAACCCGCGTCAGCCAACCCAGCTATTTAAGTGGGCTGGCATCAGCAGACTCGGCTTCCAAATCCAGAGCTTGTCTTTGCCACTTCCACGTAAGTAACTTTCAGAGGCTTGCCTTTATTGCAGAAGAATGAAATCGTGTAGACACTGGACTGCAGTGCTATAGTTGCTGTATGTGCTAGTCTGCTGGGGAAAAGGCAGGGCTGAAAGGAAGAATAAAAGTGAAGAGTGGGGCGCCTGGGTGGCTCAGTTGTTAAGCGTCTGCCTTCGGCTCGGGTCATGATCCCGGGGTCCTGGGATCGAGCCCCACATCAGGCTCCCTGCTGGGTGGGAAGCCTGCTTCTCCCTCCCCCACTCCCTCTGCTTGTGTTCCCTCTCTCGCTGTCTCTCCCTCTCTGTCAAATAAATAGATAAAACCTTCAAAAAAAAAAAAGTGAAGAGCTGGTCCCAAGCAGGGAGCCAGACAGCCCGGCCGGGTGGAAGATAGCAGACCCTTGCAAACATGCAAGGGGTTAGGGGGACTGGGGGCAAGGTGGAGCCCATTTAGGCCTTTTGGCCAGCAGATGAGATGTCTTTCTTGCTCTCTCCTCTCTCTGGAAGACACTTTGAAACCCGTGTTTATGTGACTGTGCCAGACGCATATGAATCTATCATTTAGAAGCTGATGTTGCTATTACTCATCTCGGTCTCAAATCAGACATCGTATTATTTTTTTAAATATTTTTTGTGTTTGGTAGAGGGGAGTAAGAGGAGGTATCTCTGGATGAAGCAGAGGCTGCTCAGTGGAGAATCTGCAGTGCTATTTCTTGTTATGTCTGGTTCTTATAATACTTATTTACAACAATGCAAACGTTGATCTTGTTTAAGATAAAAAGGAATCCCATGCTCCCGGGTTTTGAGGCAATGGAACACAGTGGTATCCAGGTATTTAGGTGAAGTGTTAGGTAAGGTGGGATAGGAATCATTGAATAAAGAGGCACAGCACTCCACATAACTTAGGTGAGAAGGTCTTTGAAGAGAAGAGGAATGCGAAAATTTCCCGGGGCCTTTAGTAGAGCAGGGAGAGAACAAAATAAAGGTACTGAGGAGAGGGGGAGGGAGGAGGAGAGGGAGCAGACAGTAGAGGAGTTACAGTTGGGCATCATATTAATAAAATACATGTAGGATATAATAGGAATAAAGCACGACATAAATTCCATAGTTCCTCCTTCGGGGTCAAGAACCTGGTTTTTAAGAATCTGGAGAAAGCCAAGGACCTTTCCCAGGTAGTTCGCCCTGCCCCCAACATATACCTTGACACTCATTTTCTGGAGCCCTAGAACTCCACGGACCCCCAATGGATGCATTTAAGCTAACGTATTATTTTTAAACTGAGCTGAAACTGCTGGCTAGGAACCTGCAGAGGAGTGGGGAGTGGGCCACCCAACTGAAGCTCGCTTGCAAGGTCACCAAGGTCTGATTCCCATCAAGCAAAAAATGATTAAGGGGTTTCTCTGGGCAAAGATAAGTTGGGGGCCTGGAGGAAGAGAAAAGAAATACAAGGTGGGCTCCTGTTCTCAAAGAGCTTGATATCTAAAGTTTAAGGATATAATAAGAAGCCAGGTGGAAAATAGAACATATTGTATGATTCCATTGGTATAAAGTGATAGAAAATGCAAACTATAGTAACAGAAAGCAGATCAGTGGTTACCTGGGGGAAGAGGAGAGGGGAGAAAGGGGGCGGGGGGTTATCAAGGGGCATGGGACATTTTGGGGGTGATGGATATGTTCACTATCGCGATTGTGGTAACCATTTTTCTTACGGGTGAAAATTTATCCGATCGTACACTTTAGACACATGCAGTATTCTATGCCAATTATGCTCCAACAAACAATACTTTAACAATCCATCTTTTCTATATAATTAAAGGCATTTCTAAACGTCAGCCTATGCAACATACTGAAAATAAAAAGTAGGTTTGGAAAAAAATTAATTCAATAAATAAAATGGAGGATCAGACTGTCAGGATTGCGGGCTTGTATAGAACCTCGAAGGTTCCAGAGATCATCTAGCTCAGCAACTGCCGATCTGGAAAACTGTTTTTAAAAATACCCAGGACTGGCCCCGCCCTGATCAATTAAATAAGGATCCTGGCATTGTTTTTTAAAGCTCCCCGGGGATTCTAACACACCGCCAGGGATGAGAACCAGTGAAACCCCAACCTCTCCCTTGACACATGAGGCTAGGGAAGCCCAGAGAGAAGGTGGGTCTGCCCCTGACCATACAACCACCATGTCCCATGGCCCGGGGAAGACAGCAGCAGGATCTCAGAGGAAGAGGAACCCCTGAGACCATGCTACTGGGTCCTCCAAACCACACGTGTGGCTCTAGCTAGGACAAGGCATCTGGCGCATTTCAAGCAAATTCTTGGAACCCAGACACGCTCGGGGCAGCCAGCGGGAAGAATTACTCAGAACCTCAAAGGTGCATTTGTCAGAGAGAACACAAGCATGAACCTCAAAGGTGCATTATTGAAGGATTGTGCTAACACGTGAGAAGGGATGTTTCAAAACGAAGGCTTCCTTTTGTTCCCTCCAAAAATATCTGGGATAAGCCAGAGGATTATATGCCTTGGGAGAATCGCAGCAGACACACCAGGCTCTCTGCTGAGATGCCGGGGACGGCCAAGTTGTTCTTGCAGGATTGAGCGCAAGTTCTCAGCCCTGGAATGAGTCGATTTGGCACCGCGGGGGCTTTTCATTGTGAGTTCTAGGTCGGTCCTGGGCAGCAGCGTGACAGGGTGACGTTTGTTTCTGAGGCTACTGCTGTTCCTGTCTGCCCCTCACTGTGGCCCCTGTCTGGCGGCAGGGGTGCCCACGGGACCACCCACCTCCCCTGCCCTGCCTGTGCCGGCTCCACGTGTTAGGTGGTTTCTCAGCTCCCTTCCAGTCTAAAACGCATCTGATTTTCAGGGTCTCATCCCCTCAGGGCTTTGCTTCTCCATCTCTGGAAAACTCATTAAAGTTATGGTGTTAATAGACAATAATTGTTTAATGAGTTATGTCCCAGGATATTAAATAGGTTCCAGCAAGATAACGTATCTGGGAATTCTTTGAAATGTTATCTAAATAGGAATTACCATTTGGGGCAATCAGGAGGATCAAAGTTTTAGGCCAAATGTATAATCCCAACTGGTAAAAATTCCAAGCAATTTGCTGGGGGAAAATATACCAGGATTGGGGGTTTGGAGTAGAATTCCTCAAATCCCATCCCTCAGGGAATTCCCTATGGACTGTGGGGCCTGACAGAATGCTTTGTCTGAATTGGTCTATTTTGTGTTAAATGCATTTGTACTTATTGGAGACCGCTGCATTTATCTTGGTGAAAAACGGAGCGCCCCCTTAAGAACACTACAGTGGAGATAAAACGTCAAGAAATTCTGCTCACAGGGCTTTAGAGAAATTACCTGGTTCCCCCTCCTGTGTGGACGCTGGCACTGGCAGGGCAGCCGGCCTAGCCTCCGTGACAAGGAGCCTCCTTCCTCGGGGACCCAGGCCTGCAGCCGGGGACAAGGGGCCCCCTCAGTTCCTGGGACTCTGGGTCCTCGACAGCCCTGTCTCCGTCCGAAGGCTGAGATTGCTGCAGCGGTCGGTCGTTGGCAAGTGGCAGTTGCGTGTCGTGCGTCCAGCCTGTGAAGAGGGGTGTGGCCAGGTGTGTGATTAACGCCCGCCCCACCCCCATTAGGGAAGCAGAGTCTGCAGGCGGCCGGGAGCCCAGAGCAGCTGGGCAGCCCTAGGGCACAGAGTCTTCCCCGCTGAGCATAGCATTGAGGAGAGGAGGGAGAAAGTAAACACCGTCCTGGCTCAGGGGAGACAGGCCCTCAAGTCCCTCAAGTTCAGAGGAAAGGATTAGGCTGTTAGCATCAGGCGGCCAGCCCACACTGGTTTAAAGCTGCTGTCGGGAAGCCTGATTCTTCCTCTGGCCATTCAGAGCGTCACCACAAATAATTTTTTGAAAAATGAGTGGCGTGATTGCACAGCTGATAAAATAGATTTGTAGAACAGTGACAATTTCTGCCTTCTTTGGATGGCTTTTCTTTGAACATGTCCCCCTCCCCTTTGTTTTCTTTTTTTTTTTTTTAAGATTTTATTT